AAGCTCCCGTGCACACTTGACTGCAACACAATTGTGTGTGCTCAGCAGAGCGGCCCAATGAGAGGATGTCAGTCCTACTCACTGCTCTTGCTCAAACCCTCCTTTCACCTGCCTCCTGGAGAGGCCATCTATTTCTCCCCTTTCCTCATGCCTCAGTTTCTGCTATGACTTCTTTGTTGCACCTCCCAGGTGCCAGCCTTTGCCCCTGCTGGCTACTCAGCCTGCAGCTTCCTCTCCTCTCCTCCAGATCCTGCTAGAACCATTCCCTTCTCAAGAGTTTGCCCTTGGCCTCCCTCTTTAACCTGGCACCTGCTCACCCCACTCTGCGGGTGCCCTTCCTGCTTTGATTGTTGCCTTGGTATTTAGATTACTCGTTTCATTTCTTCTTCCGAAAAGAACGTCAGAGGCACGAGGGCTGGGGTTCGTGTTTCATTCACTGCGCATGCAGAGCGCCCCGAGGGAGACCTGTCCCTCAGTGCCCCTTGGCTGGATGGACAGCAGCGCACCAGGGCTCATTTCAGAGTACAGGGGTGGCTCCTGGCCCAGCCCGCACACCTGCCAGGTCCTGCTCCGGTGGGTGGGACAGCAGTGCCCTGCAGCCAGCGAGTACAGCCCCCGAGCCTTTGTCTTTTTTGGCCCTGGCTCATCTGAAGCTTTGTCTCTGGAAAACCAACAGAGCCCTCTGCCAGGAAGGTCTGCCCGATCGTGTTATTTCAGCTGTTTCCAAGGCTCTCCGGCGGGCGGCTTGGCCACGGGGAGGTCCAGGGGAGCCAGGGTCAGCTGATGGCCCTCTAGCCCTGGTGTCCGAAGGCCCCGTCCCTGTTGCTTCTCAACCCTTCTGGCCATTACCCAGCCTGATGGTCACTCCCTGGCACCTGAGTGCCTGTCCCCTCAGCCTGCCCAGAGCCTGCAGGGAGACCCCACCACCATGCTTTGCATGGGGTTCCCAGAGCACGATTCCCTGCCAGAGCCCACAGGCAGCTCAGTTCCCTCTGCTGCCCTCTGAGAGGCCAGAGACATGAGTGGCCACACTGCGCTCAGCCAGGGTTTGTTGCTGTAGCTCTGCTAAGGCAGTACAGAGGCACCTGCCCCGGTGGGGGTTGCTGAGCGAGGCGGTCAGGGCTTCCAGCCCAGTGGAAGGAGGGGGATTATTTTATTTGCCAAAGACTCCCCTTCCTTCTGAAGCCAGGAGACCACTGCTTGTCTCTGTCCACTCTCCTTCTGAGGCAGGGAGGACGATGGGTAAAGAGAGTTGGCAAAGTGACTTCAGAGATGGCCTGAGGCAGCAGTTGGAGCCAGTTTCTTTTTTTTTAAAGATTGATTTATTTATGCATACAAGAACTGGGGTACAGGCCAGAGGTATGGGGAAGGGGGTGAGAAGCTTCACCAGAGACAGAGTGGGGAGCAGAACAGGCAGATCCACTGAAATACACTGCTGAGGGGAGCAGCGGGTGAGTCAGGGGAGGTCTGCTGCGCCATGTTGGTGTGTCTTCCCTGGCTGGGGATGGAACTCATGCTGCAGTGGCTGTGGACAGCTTCATAGGTTGTGTCTTAACCCCTTGTGCCACCAGGGAGGCCCTGGAGCCAGTTTCTTTAGGGCACCAGAGCTCAACATTTTGGTTTGGATCTTTTTAGAAAAACTTCCTTCCTGCTTTATTGAAGTCTAACTGACAAATGAAAATTGCATGTATTTATGGTGTGCAATGTGTTGTTTCGAGCTACATATATATATTTGTGAAATAATTACCACAGTCCAGCTAATTAACATCTTATCGCCTCTTATGTGTGTTTATGTTGGGGCAGGGTGAGACCATTTCAAATCTAGCCTCTCAGCAAATTTCAAGTACAGGCACACCTTGGAAATATTTCAGGTTTGGTTCCAGATCATTGAGATAAAGTGAAGATAGTGTGATGAGTCACATGACTTTTGGTTTCCCGGTGCATAGAAAAAATATGTTTACACTATGCTTGTAGTGTGTTTACACTAGAGTGTAGTTTATTAAGCGTGCAATGGAGTATGTCTAAAACAATGTGCATGCCGTTATTAAAACGTTCTTGATTGATAAAAACCACTAACCATCCTCTGAACTTCGACCCAGAGCACCAGAGATGCCACACATGCCCAGTTTGAAAATGGGGCCATGTCTGTGGCGTGCTGTAAAGCGAGGCAGGCCTGTCTGCAGCGCATGGTAATTGACTGTGTCTAGTCATACCAGCTGTACTTTATCTTATTATTATTTTTTAATAATTTTTAAATTGAGGGTTCTCCCTAGTAGTGCAAGGGGTTAAGTCTCAGCATTATGAAGCTATCACCAGCCGCTGCAGCACAAGTTCAATCCCCGGGCAGGGAGCTACCCACATGGCGCGGCAGACCTCTCCTGTCTCCCCACTGCTCCCCTCAGCAGTGGATTTCAGTAGATCCGCCTGCTCTGCTCCCTACCTGCTCTGTCTCCGGTGAATCCTCTCAGTCCCCACACCTCTGGCCTATACCCCAGTTCTTGTATGCATAAATAAATAAAAATATTTAAAAAATAATAATTTTTAAATCGAGCTAACAGTTTACAGCACTGTGTGCGACGGAAGGGCTTAGCTTTGCAGCCCATGGCTGCATGTCCCTGCGGTACTTTGGATCCCCAGAAGTCACTGTTCTGTACAACTGAAAGTTTCCCCCTTTGGCCAACATCTTTCCATTTCTCCTGCCTTCGAACACCTGGAAGCCACCTCTGCTAAACTCTGCTTCTCTGAGTTCAACTGTTTTAGAGCCTTCATCTCTCTGTGCCTGCCTTGTCTCAGTATCATGCCCTCCAGATTCCTCCATGCTGTTGCAAATGGCAAGATTTCTCTCTTTTGTAAGGCTGAGTAATATTCTATGGTCTATAATTATATACACAGCACATTTTCTTTATCCATTTACCTGCCAGTGGACACTTAGATTGAGTGCAGATCTTGATTATTGTGAATAATTCTTCAGTGAGTGTGGAAACACAAATATCTCTTCAAGTGACTGCTTTCACTTCCTTTGGATAAATACCCACAAGTGGGATGGCTGGATCTGACGGTGGTTCCATTTATAATGATTTGAAGAACTTTCATATTGTTTTCCGTAATGTCAGCTTGGATCTTAATTCAAGACTTGGAGGCCATTCTTTGAATGTCTGGCTTACCTGCTCTCTGTAGTTAAAAAAAAAAAAATGGGGAAAAGATTAAATGTCTCTCCAGAGCTGTGGTCATGAAGACTAAATGCAATGGTGTCCTGGCTAAATTAGCTTATTTCCATTCAATGAAGATTTTAAGTATTCATGATGCGCTTTGAAAATCCTCAAAAGAATGTGTTGTCATTAGTTAATAGTCCCATCTTAATTTTCACTTCTTTCTTAAGGGAGATTTCCCCCAACCCTGAAGTCTTGGGTGTTGGGTCATTGTGAAATGGTTTACAGATGAAGAATGAGGCTACTCTGGTGTTCCAAGCTACATAAATTTAAGAAGAAAAGGCTCCTATGATTCCTGGTCATGGCAGAAGCCAGTAGAATGAGGCTGAAATCAACTAGCAAGTCAAAAAGTGTTTGTTCAGCATCCTCCTGTCCAAGGGCTCCTTCTTCTAGCAAGGGAGAAGTCTTTGGGGCCTCAAGATCAACAAATACCAGTTGAATCTAATTGAGTTTGAAAAAATAGCCCTCCTTTTGGAAACAGAAGAATTTGTATTTCTGAACAATTGATTCATTGGCCACCAGATCCCCATGCCTGTTTACTTGGACTTCCTTTTATTTTGATTAAGTGCAAATCTGCCCATCCTTTGAGTTTATCTAGGTCTTCCCAAATTTACATACCTCCAACCACCCCCATCCACCAGGGTTGGTCATTGAGTCGACTGACTGGTTTTGTTAGGGATGCAGCCCTCAATCATGGGCAGGGGATACACACTGGAAATGCCTTCTGTCATAACCCCAGCCCCAGCAATGTCTTCATCTATTACAAATTGGTTCTTTTTTTTTTTTTTAATTGGTTCTTTTTTAATCTCCTTCTTGGGTTGGGTATCCCACTGAGGTTTTGGTTTGGTCCAGAATTCCCAGTCTGTGCCTCCTTCCTAACCTTGTAAATTTAGGGCTTTTAAGTAAACTAGGGATGACGTGGTTTTACTCAGTGGTTCCTGTTTGCAACCTGCTGTTGCAAGTATAACCTTGAATGCTTGTCTTTCACAACTCAACCCCGGATTTATTGCTTTTGTGTTTGTCCACTCACGATGAATCATCTCCAGTAGGTTAAGCATCAGTTAGGTTAATCATCTCCTTTTAGGTTAGTTTTTTTGTAAGATCAGAATCATGAGGTTTGTTTCCTAAGCATCTTGCTGCTCCAGGTGTGATCCATTTACTTGTTAAACATCGTGTGGTCCAGATGTAAAGGGACACATTTCCACCAAAATGGTTTTTGAATGTTTCCCCCTAACTTTATTGTAAAAAATATCAAAACGGTGAGCACTATTTTCCCCCAGCTAGATTCTACCATTAACTTTCGGTTTTACATTTCTTTTCTCCCCAAATTAATTTTTATCAAGAATTTTAGGTTCATGAGTTACTTGATGATATAAGTGTGAATCATGTCTTGGTAATAAAAGACCCATCCATTCCTCTGGACATTTCAGTGGGTTTCATAAGGTCACACTTGGTTTGGGAATTTCTTGTGAATCGGGGAAGTCTGTTGAGATGGCAGTGTGCGATTTTTCCAGAGTTGGGTGCTGATCCTGTCCAAGGTCCAGTCCAGAACGTGGGGCCCCAGTAACTCATCTCTTTCGTAATATAAGATCATCCATCTCTGTGATGATGGGAGATTATTATTATCACCACTAAGTCTCAGGTGGAGAAGCCGATGAACCCGTTCAATAGTCCAATAAGAAGGAAAACATCTGTTGGCATGGAAAAGTGATTATTTCCTAAGCTACTGAGTAAAACACAGCTGCATTGGCAGTTTTAACTCTGTTTTCTTGTCAATTTTGTGCCTTCCAGGCAACCTGACAGAAACACGAGCCTCTCAACCATCTGGAACTCAGAAACTCATTCAGGGTTGACTGTGGCTTCTTGGATGTCCAGGTGTTCTGCAGATGTGAGAATTTGCCCTGCCCGCACCAGCTGGAGTCCCGAACAGATGCAAGACGGGCGCTTCCACTCTTGACAGCCCTGAACACAGAGAGGTCACCGTCTAAGTGGCCAAGGGCGGTTGTTGGCACGTGTGACTGCTGCTCACAGCTGGTCATCTTACACAGCTGCAGCGAGGGATGCCAAATTCAGGGTTGCAAGCTTCCTGACTCTCCTGAATTAGGATTCCAGATGGGGGCCTCATTTCTGTAGCCCCCACCATCCCCATAGCCACTACCACCAGCATCGCTGCCACCACCACCTCCTCCTTGCAAACTCCACCGCCGTGTCCAGGGACATCCTGCACAGAAGTGAGCAGACTTGCCAGTGGTGGCCACCCCTACTGCAGACAAGTGGAATCACCCACTCAGCACCATGGACTGGCTTTTTCTAAAGGTTTTGTTGGTGGGCTTGAGTTCCTTGGGATGTCTTTATCCTCTGGTGGATTTTGGCTCCCATGGGGAAACAGAAGGCCAGAAACCAAATTTCGTGATCATTTTGGCAGATGACATGGGGTGGGGTGACCTGGGAGCAAACTGGGCAGAAACAAAGGACACTGCCAACCTGGATAAGATGGCCACAGAAGGAATGAGGTGAGTGTGGGGGTGCCGAGTCAGCACCTCCTTCCTTTCCCTGACTCTTCTAGGGGGAGGGGACAATGTAAAGCATGGGTCCAGGTTGATTGATTCAGTTAACCGATCAGTCAGTAAATCGTCAATCAATCAATCAATTAGGGATGAAGCCAGTACAGCATCATGAAGCCACTTATCCATCCATCTGGTCACCTTTATTGTGTTGGGAGCTGGGATCAGAGAGAAGAATGAGGTAGAAAAATTGTCATGAAGGTCCATAGGTCTGTAGAAGAGACAGGTGTAAGGGAAAGGAAGGATTGCAATCTAGGACATAAACCTGCATCAGAACATTTTTGAATCCATGGGAGAGGGTGCCAAACCCAGCCTGGGGCCCAAAGGTGAAGGGGATCCTTGAAGAGCAACTGAGAGTCAGCTGGCACATGGAGGCAGCAGGACCTCCAGGTCTGTGGGAGCAGAATGGTTGTGCATCGGCACGAGTTGAAATGTTTGCAGATGTTTTGGCTCAAATGCTTAACCCTCTCCCCAGCTTAGAGAGAACAGGTGTCCGAGCTTGTGGACTTTTGGGTTTTCTTCTCAGGCTGATGTTGATTCAACTGATCTGTCTGTCCTGGGCTACACACTCTGTTCAACAGAGTGGGCATTGCTCCAGCTGACTGGTTAGGATAACTCATGGGGCATGTCCAGACTTTCAGCCACTTGCATCCTGCAGCCAGGAGCTTCTCCCCAGAGATAAGGCTATTTGAAATCCCTGCATCTAGTTTCCATGCTCCTCACCTCAGCCCAGGTGAACTTTCTAGGAACAATCCTCTGCTTCCAATCAAAGACATTTGGTGTCCCTAAGGATAAAATCCAGAACTTGAAGAGCAGCTGCAAGACAAGCCCATCCTCTGAGGTTCTCTGCACAGTCCTGTCTTACAGATGTCTGTTGTGGTTACCTCCTTGGTTTGAGCCTCACCTGTGTGATGAATTCTTCCTGGTGCATTTTCTATTTACCCCTTACAGTTAGTTTCTACTCACTGTTTGGGCCTCAGTTCCACTGAGGTCCTCAGGACAGCCTCCCAGGCCCCTGGGGTGCCCTCCTTGCCCTCACTGCTCTTCACAGAGATTGGCTAATCACCTGACCTCCTGTATTGGGTTGAAGAGTATCCGCACAAATTCAAGTCCCCCCACAACTTCAGAAGGCGATCCTATTTGGAAATAGGGTCTAAGCAGATATAATTAGTTAGAGACCCCAATGTCACGTGTGATTTAGGGTGGGTCCTAAATCCAAAGACTGGTGTCCTTATAAGAAAAGGCCTCAGGGAGACCCCCAGGAGAAGTGATGTGAAGATGGGGGTGGAGATGATGGAGTGATACACCTGCAAGCCAAGGACACCATGAGAAACTGGGGTACACAGAACAGATTCTCTCTGAGCCTCCAAAGGGACCAGCCCTGCCAAGGTCTTGATTTGCAACGTCTTGATCTCACATGTCTTGCCTCCTGGCGATTTGTCGAGAAAGCTACAGAAAATTGACCCACCTCCCTTCTGAGTTTTGGCATCCTTCTTAGTTTCCTAGCCCATAGCACTGTTCCTGGCACATAATAGGTGATTTATATTTGTCCATTCATCAAGATACCCCAAAGTGAGCGCCCCCAATTTTCCATGTAAGAATTTGTTTTCCTGGGGAGAGCATCGACCAGATCCTCAAAGGGAAATGCTTGCGAACTTCTGCTTTCAGTGTCAAGCGGGTGAGTGGGAAACATCTGACAGGTGATTTAAACCAACAGTTTCTAGGCCTGGACCTTCCTCCCCTAACTGTGCCCACCAGCACATCCTCACTCTGAGCAGAAAGTGCACCACAGGGGCCAGAGGCAGACACAGTTTGGTGGCTTTGCCTATTTTTCACTCCTCTATGAAAAGTTTCTCCAATTGCCTTGTGAGAACAGCCAGGCCCGCGGCCCTCCAGCCTGAGCTCCAGGCTGTTTATACTGTGCTCTGTTGACAGGTAAGGGGCTTAGTTTGAAGGCAGGGGTTGATTCACTGACAGCCTCCCCCTCTGCCTTCTCACCACCAGTGGGACCCCAACTGCAACATTTATTGTTGTTTTATTTATTTATGCATACAAGAACTGGGTTGCAGGCCAGAGGTGCGAGGGGTGAGAAGATTCACCAGAGACAGAGTGGGGAGCAGAACAGGCAGATCCACTGACATACACTGCTGAGGGGAGCAGCAGGGAGACAGGAGAGGTCTGCTGCGCCTTGTAGGTAGCTCCCTGGCTGGGGATCGAACTCAGGCAGCAGTAGCAATAGCATGACAGCCTGAAACTTAACCCCTGTGCCACCAGGAGGCCCCCAACTGTGACTTTTAGACCAGAGCTCTCATTGCCAAACCTGGTCTAAGGGAGCCTTGAGAAAATGTCTTTTATATCATCTCCCTTTTATCAGTGTATCATTTCCCAGGACAAACACAACAAATGACCACAAACTGGTGGGTAGCCTCCCCTAGTTCAGAAGGTTAGAAGTCCTATATCAAGGTGTTAGCAAGGTGGTTCCTTCTGGAGGCTCCAAGAGAGAATCTGGTCTCTCCTCAATTCTTATGGTTGCAGACTTTAGGATGTTACCAGAAGTAACACCCACTTGAATGATCACTGTGATGAGATCTTGGTCTGCAGGGGAAGGCCTAGAGGACACATCACGGAAGGAGGGGGATCCCTGGGACAAATCCCTGCTGGCCGTCTCCAGGGAGACCATGCGCACCTGGCTGACACCTGTACTGGATCCAGTACAACAACTGCAGTGTAGCTGAACACGCCGTGCGCTTGCCGGGTTTCAGGCTCCAGAATTGCCCAATTTAATTCTCACTTCCAAGAGGTTTCTCTTCTTTCACAGATGGGGAGATCCAGGTCAAGGGCCTCACCCAGAGTTGGGGAGTGGCTGAGCCAACATTCAAGCCCAGATTCCTGCATTCTAGAGCCTTATCTTTAAGGGCTAGGAAGGAGGGGAGCTGGGAAGAGAGTCCTTCAGAGCTGGGGCCACTGCAATCGCAACATTTTTCTCCCTTTGGGACCGAGAACGGATGTCTGTGCTGCCCAGCTGTAAGAGGCAACCTGAGAAAAGTTGTTAAGATGCCCTTTAGCGGGGAGTTGGAAGCGGCTGTTGGGCAGGAGGCTTGACTGGCCTGAGTTTGTGATGGGGGCGGGCACAGACGCCTGCCATCTCAGTGCCCCACGCTCCTAACCTTGTGCTTATTTCTTCCTCAAACCCATACTTTTGCTGCCTCAGGGCCTTTGCACAGGCTGGTCCCTTTTCCTGGCAAGCTCTGAGAGCCTAGTCCCTTGTCATTCTTTCTGTATCCACTCCCCATCCGCAAAGAGCTTTTCCTGACATTCTCTCCCACCCGTCTGCCCCTCCCTGCACGCCTGTTGCCTTTCTCCCGGAGCCCTTGAAGTGATCTTCGTTGCCTGTCTCTCCCACTGGAATGTCAACTCCGGACGAGCAAACTTACCTATCTCTTTCATAACTGCAGTGCCAGGGACATGGTAGGTGCTCAAAAAACATTAGTTCCATATTTGGATTCCTGGTTCCAACCTTCTGGGTATGCCTGGATGAGTTAACCACAGCGGGGGATCTGGAACCAGGTGCTGGGGTCTCTTACTTACTAGTTTTGGGACACTGGGCTCCTCAGTCAGCCTTGCTGGACCTCAGTTTGCTCATCTCTAGAAAGGGTCAGAAATGGCACTTACGTCACAGGTCATTTCAAGGAGGAAATTAGTTCAGTCATGCAGCATCAGCAGAGTCCCTGCTCCCCGGGTCTGGACTGTCATGTCTGTTTTCTCCACTTAGTTACCAGCAGCATCTCACCCTGTCTGGGCCCAGCCCCTCTCCCCGCAAGCTGGACCGCGGAGCTCGCTGCTTCTCGGAGCCCCTCAGTTCCTGTTGGCTCCTCACGTGCCTGAGGCAGCTCTTAAGTGTCTGTAACGTGTCCCTCCTACTTCCCGTCAGCACTCGGCACTCATTCTATTTAACCTGGCTTTGGTAGATGCAATTTGCCACTTTTGCAGCTGGAAAAGGTCTAGATCGAAAGCCAGTGGTGATGTCATCATGTCACGGAAAGAAAGGAGTCTGGGGAAGGAGAGCAGTCTTACAGTGTCCCTTCATGGAGACAGGGGTGTCTCCATGCACATGGAGATGACACAGGCACCGTGGCCTGCAGCCTTGAACTTTCCGCAGCTCGAGTCACGGGGTCCACATCCATCTCACGTGGAGGGAAACTGAGGTGCAGGGAGGGAGTGTTGTTACTATTACAGCAGCTTACCTGCTTTGCAAATTCACCAGGTTAAACGTAATGAAAAAGAATTTATTGAGGAACAAGTGGACACTACTACAGAGCAGCAAACGTCTCATCGGCAGGCACTGTCCTCGGGCCTCCCAGTGTTCGTGACTCCTGTGTGTGCCCTGGGAGGCAGCAGCACCCTGGGCACTGGTCAGGAGGCTCAGCCGCTAGTGTGCTTTGCCCTTGACCTCAGGGGCAGTCATTTGTCAGCGTCCCATGCCAACCGGAGGTGGCAGTGCCGAGGAGCATTCCAAAGTTTAAAAATGTGAAGGTAACCAGAAGAAAATCAAAGTGTTGGAATTTAAGAAAATGATGCCAAGAGCTTAGTCATCAATGACAATTTATTTTTCCCAGCAATTACAAAAACTTGCAGTTTTTGGAAGAGTTTGAGGAAGAGGAATGACTTGTGCACGCTTAAAAAAAAGAGAAAAGGACATATGCATGTCACTGGCACTTCCTCCAGTATTTCCAACCGTCTGGCAACTGTCTGAATCGCTACAAGGACCCAGGAATAACCTTGATACTGAAATACGGGTCTGGTTCTTCTTGGGAGCAGATCTGGGGATCTGCTGGTTTCACCTGTGATGATGAGCAAAAGTTCTGGAATGTTCTCGGCCTGAGAAGTAACTGCACGCATCTCCTCTCTGGGTGACTGGATTCAGGCAATGGCTTAGGATGTCCAGCCTG